TGAGGACAGATAAAAGGATGCATTGCTTCCTGTAGTGCATGTTAAATTGTGAAATTCACCTTCAAGAGATGTAGTAATGGCTGCTAGTTTATATGGCTTTGAAAGAGAATTGGAACACATTCATGAAAGAGAAGTCGATCAATGGCTACTAACCTTCTTGGCTATGTGCTACTTCCATTATGAGCTCCAGTATCAGTTCCTGAGTTGCTTAGACAGGCAGAACTCTTGTACTCATCCTGCTTGAGGAATTCTGTCAAGAGCTGGTTTGCCACTGTCTGAACAGAACGCTGGACTGAATGGACCCTTGTTTTGATCAAGCATGTTTTTTCTTATATTCTTATTCAGAGATTTAAAGGGTTTATCATTTGAGCAGGCAAAACTTGAGACGGACTATTGCAATTGGTATCTTGGAAAGATTCCATTCTTGGCAACTTATCAGAGCTCAGGATATCTAAAATAAAATGTATTGCTTTTAAAGTATTATAATAATGTAATGCTTGAAATCCTTTTATAAGGAGTAAATACATACTATCAAGAGATATGTGTTAAGTGTGTATTGACAGGGCCATTAGATCAGTGGTACTAAATCCTTACACTTGAAAGAATATTATCATACTCTGTGTTTCAAATGCACTGAGAAAAAAATATCCCAGATATTTCTATGAGTATTTGTTAGAATTTTTTACTTCATTTTTGGAATGCCTCCACAGATTTGTTCAGCACAGAGTGTACTATTGGAGATGTATCATGAATGTGAAGGCTGTGCCAAATTTGTACATTTTATTTGCAAACAGTTAACATTATTAGAAAAACTTGTGTGAATATGCTGGCATAGTATGCTTCAGAGATGCAAAAATATAAAACCAGATCTGAGCCTATAGGTTTTAATTGCTAAACTGATGTTCGAAATTGCATGAGATATGATAAGCACCTTACATGAGTCTGAAATACTTACTAATCTACTGTTTCCTTGTTTTTACACACAGTAACCATAAGCTGAAGGAACTGTAAACCTTCATGCAAATAAATTGCTAGATCAGTCAAGGCTTTTTTATACTGTTTTAAACATAGAAACCTCCCTCAGCCAACAGTGTTGTAGCTTCTGGTCTACAGGGGAACGATGGCAACTGTAGTATGCTGCTCATTAATATATAGTTCTGTGCATGTCTGTATAGCTCTTTCACATTATAGTTGCTAAGTATGGAGGGAAAAGAAATCCTCTGTGGAATTCCTGATTCATTTACTTGCTTACTAGGAAGTATACTTGGCTTCGGTGGTTTGATACAGCAAAGCCTTGGAGTGCAGTTACGTAATTGTCAGTGCTGGGTACATTGTGCTTGCCCATCTGATGGGAAGCACAGCTGTTGGCACCCCTAGGCATGGCTTCTTTCATTATGTACCCTTCTATCCCTGGGGTGGGAGGTCCACCCACTCCTTTCCCCTGGGGAATTTTGCCCAGCATGAGGAACATTGATTAGGCATGTAACTCTGTTCCTTGGAGTAACCCCCTACCCTGCACCCTGCTTCAGACTGTATCAACAGTGGAGAGCTTGCCAAGTAGTGAACGAAGATGGTACTGCAGGCTTTATACACATGGATGCATTTATTTGTTTATTTATTAAATGCATTTTAACAAGAAAATTAATACATTAAATTAGTTGATACATTTTAACAAGGAAATAACCCTAAAATGCAAAGCCCTATGTTTCTTTAAAATACAAATCAACTTTCAGATATCTAGGTTTCATGGAATTGAAACTATGGTACTGACAGACATATCTTACTGCTGTGCCCACATCTGGACTACTGCATCCAGTTCTGGGCTCCACGTTATAGGAGGCATGTAGCTAGGTTAGAATTGGTTCAGCACAGGGTCAAAAGAACGGTAGCTGGGTTGGGAGGGATGACATACGAGGAGGCATTGAGGAAACTGGGTCTTTCAGTCTGGAGGAGACTCCAAGAGGATCTTTTAGCAATTTACAGGTATGTGAGGGGATGTCATGTGGAAGAGGGCCATGACCTGTTCTTCCTTGCAGTAGAGGGCAGGATGTGTTCCAATGGGGCAAAGCTCAAGGACCAGGCTTCAGGCTGGATATCAGGAAGTACTTCCTGATGGTTAGGACCCCTAGGATATGGAATGGATTTCCAAGGGAGGTGGTGGAGGCCCCATCAGTGAGAGTGTTCAAAGAAAGATTGGACAGCTACATGTTGGGGATTACATGAGCAGAGCCACCTGGAGCTGGGGGTCAGACTAGATAGCCCAGGAGCCCCCCCCCCCCGACTCGCTTTGTTTCTATGTTTCTATCTTATTTTATTATCGACTCTGGTGCCTTTCTTCCCTTTCAGCTCCATCAATTATACTGTACCCTTTTTCCCAGACCCTTGGTTTGTCTTTCTACCTTCTCTCAGTAACATTCAGGCTTTGTGCATATTTTTCACACAAGCAAACTCAAGTGCCTTTTCAATTATATTATCTGTTCTAAATCAAGATTGGTATGCCACATGCAATGTTCCTCCTAACTGGTTAAAAGTTTTAATCATTTTGTGACACCTAAGCAGCTTAGCCAATTGCTAGGGAGTGTTGTGGGTTTTGGTGTACAGATTTCAATTTTCAGCCTATTTTATTTGCGTATATTATATATTATTGTATTATCATGGAATGTATGATTGAATTTAAACATGTTTTGGTTGTTATTCATGCTGAGTTTAATTTTTCTTCAAAATAGTTTGATTCCTATGAAAACTCTTGTCACAGAAATAAGACTCTCATAAACAATGTGGAATTACAGTCTTAACTATATTTGTTTATTACACTTCAATGACATACCTCTTAGCCAAAAGGCTTTCTGGGCAGCTTACAATGGTAGGACAATAAAACACCAGAACAGAACAATTCAATTTAAAAAGTAAGACAATAAAAATGAAACTGTAAAACAGTACAATAAAACTAACAATTAAATTAAGCAACCAATTTATTATAAAAACCATTTAAAACAATCATTCTGTACATAAATGTCATCTGGCAACTAAAAACTCTCAACCCGGCAGCTGCAAACAGGAAACCAGTATAAAAACCAACTTACCTATCAGAATAGTTGAAAAATAAAAACGTTTTCAATTGACTTCAAAAAGGAAAAAGTGAGGACGTGCAGCAAATTTCTTTTGGAAGTGAATTCCAAAGGTGCAGCTGCTGCTAGAGCGAAGGCCCTTTCCTGGGTCACTTGCCCTTTCCTGGTCACTTGTTGCAGGGTGGAACTCAGAGTAGATCCTCCCGGAAAGACCTTAGTGATTGGGTAGGATCATGTGGAGATATGTGTTCCCTCAGATATTGCGGCCCCAACAGCTTTAAGGCTTTGTATGTCAGTGTCGGCACTTTCAACTGGGCTGGACAGCAACCGGCAGCCAATGCAACCTGCAAAGAACAAAGGATATGTTCGTGGCAGCTGGTCCTCATCAGCAGGCATGTAGCCCTGTTCTGGAATGGTTACAGTGTCCAGACCATTTTCACAGGCAGCTCCACATAGAGCACATTACAGTAACACAAGGGTGAAGTTAGCAGTGAATGAAAACCTGTAGCAGCAAGGGTCAACTTATCCAAGCAGGAATACAGCTGATGAACCATCCTAAGCTGGTAAAAGCACTCCTGCTACCAGTTCACCTGAGAAACAAGAGACAAGTCAGAATCCGGGAGCACTCCTGGGTTGCAAACATTGTCCCTTAGGGAGAATTTGACCCCATCCAGGACAGGTTGAAAATTCCCCATTTGGATGGACAGACTACCCACTAACAGCATCTCCATCTTATCTTGTAGCTGTGATTTCTTCAAAGCCAAGAAAAGTGAGGTCTTCCAGCTGCTGCTGTCTTCATCTTTCATAAATGCCTGTGGGCTAGCTGCTCCTTCCATAGCAGCCATGTTGTGGTGGTGGCCACAACCTTATATCAAATTTGTAAATGGTGTCCATTGACCTATCAAATATGGTCTACTCCCTTTTTAAAGGAACATGGGTTGAAAAAAGTACATGCATTGCTGTTTCATATCAGACAGGCACATGTGATGCACATTTTACACATGGTTTTCCAAGCCAGGTACAGAAAACACCAGACGTATATGAAGTATAGTCTGTTGAACAGACTACCCACTAACAGCACCTCTGTCTTGTCTGAATTGAGCTTCAGCTTATTGGCCCACATCCAATTCATTACCAAACCCAAACACTGGTTAAGAACGGTCACTGCCTCACCTGAACTGGATGAAAATGAGAGGTAGAGGTGAGTGTCATTGGCATATTGATGACCCTTCAGCCCAAACCTCTAAATGACCTCTTCCAGCAGTTTCATCTAGATATGGAAGACCTTGGGGGACAAAATAGAGCCCCATGGAACTCCAATTGCACAGAACAATAGTCCCCAGATGCATCATTTTAAGCCTCTGTCAAGTTGTTAATACTTTTTATAACTGGAGTTTAACTTTTGTTCACAACTTTGGTACATTGTAGGTTAAGAGTGTGGCAGTTTCTGCTTACCAAAGGACTTTGTCCCCAGTACTGATTGTATTAAATATGACGGAGTGGAAATAAAATTATGTTTTGTTTTTAAAGGCAAAAGATTGCTGAATTGCTAGATAGATTAAATAAACATTCCTTTTACAAGTGTCAAAAGCAAAAATGGTTCAATATATGCATTACATACTGTTATAGTAAATTGTGTCAGTACAGAGATAATCCAGGAACTTCTGTAAATTCTCATTAATAATTGGACACAGAAAATGACATTTTATGCATTTTGAACCTATGTGGATGCACTGAACATGTATAGATATACCTATTATGTGTCATTGTGTAGTTGCTATTTTCCAAGACATGTGGATTTGCCACAAAAATGAATTTTCTATATGCACTCGTACATGGATTTTCAAAATAAGGCATCAAATTGTAAAACTTCAACATTTCATTTGGCTTTCCTTTTTTCCCCCCTTCCTTTCTGCATCTTCTTTCTTTTAGGATATTAATGTATGTGTTCTTGAGAACTACCCAGAATGTTCCAATCCCAGGTTATTTTATATTATTCCATATTTCTGTGGACAGCATCCAAGATGCAGGTAACTATATAATCACCTTTTCTTTCTGTTTCATCCATTACAAAGTTATTGTTTACCATTTAATGAAAATAGTTGGGGTTTAGAATGATCAGCAAATTCTAAACAACTAGTGATGCAAGTGTAAATCTGAAGGAGAATGAATTTCACACAATACTATTTGGCCATATTGGCAAGCAAGTTATGCCACATGTTAAAGGAATTGGCTAAATAAACCCCATATCTCTCAGTCAATTTGATTGAATTCCTTCCTTTTTCTAAAAGCATAAATAGTTAGTGCCTGAAGGAGAAATATATATATATATATAGAGAGACTATATATATATATTCTCTTCTTCCCAAAAACATAGGTGTGTTCTGTCCAGAATTTTATATTCTTTTCGGCCTTATACTGCAGGAAACTAAATCCTTTGAGAAACACAATTTTTATTGACTCTCAACCGGCCTATGTTGATAACCTGATTAGAGGGGTCCCTTATTGTTTTAAATCATTGAACCTTATGCAATCATGTGGCAGTCAGGCCCTATGGTGTAAATCAACATCTAAACATACTGATTGATTATAATAAGTTGGATCAAATTGTTTTGTATAACCTTGATAATTACTATTAAAAATGACTGAAACTTAATTTCCTAGATGAATTTGTTGCAGTATAAGCTAGTCCAAACACACTCTTATTACTAAATACAACTTCTGTTTGCAAAATTAAATATAAATAATATTATTTATATTCTTTAAAGGGAGCCTGGTGAATGGGCCCTTGAAAGAGCAAAAGTGAATGTGAATGAAAATTTCTTACTCGTGGGGATTCTGGAAGAATTGGAGGATGTGCTGCTTTTACTAGAAAGATTTTTACCTCATTATTTCAAGGATGTACTCAGCATCTACAAAAACCCAGGTACCTGTGTACTGATTCTGTCCTTAAATGAGTTATATTACTCAATAGATTTTCTTGTTTCATAAGATTCATGAATTTCACATGTAACTCTACATGCTGAACAACCAATAGTCAACTCATAAATGTTTACATTTTAAGAAAAATAAATACACCCAGGACTCAGTGCTATGGTGGCTAGCTGCTGTTTGGATGGCTGTAGAAGAGGTTAGCATTCTAAGTATAACCTCAGAAATGCAATCCATGGTCGGAGTTGGGACTTGGAACTTAGAGCACCCTCCCTTTACCCTCACAGCTGACATGGTTTTTCTGCCCTAGGATTTTTCTGCTCTGGCTCCAAGGTCAGAAGAACAACTTAGAGCTGGTGTTAGGTGGCTGGTTTTCTATGATGTATCCTGGTGGCACCTCCACCCCTCCTCCTTGTAAGCAAAGCCAAAAGACTTAGCCAAAATCAGCCATCTAGATCTTTTGCTGATTGGGAGAAATGCAGAGAAGTTCACATTTGCACACCTCCTGCCCTTAATAGGATGTACTTATCCTCCAAAGTGAGATGTTGACAGGCACATTGAATTTTGTTGCCATTAGATTCAATTATAATAAATGCATCTTCTATGCATCCTCCATTCAGGCATTGTATACCTCACAACTCAGGCAGAAAACAGCTTCAGTACCCACTATCTGCTATTAATGTCAGAGCATACAATTTTTCTGACTTCAATGCTAAATCAAAGCAAGCTGCTTTGTATTTGTTATAAAGTTTACACAGAGGCTTTTTGTATGCAGATAGTAAAACTCAGGAAGATCTCGCTGCCTTGAAAGAGGAGCTTGAAAGTTTCTTGAACTGGTGGGAAGAGCAGCAGCTAAAGATTTCTTCTTTTTTCCCCAAATTTTATTTTCTCTACAATCTAACACTAAAACAACAATTATTTAAGACATTGGCCATACTGGGTTGATATCTTACTGTTTTTAACAATCAATAACCATATTCAATTCTGCGCATAGTCCCATTTCTCTAACCAATAATAAAAAGAGTTCCACGTTTGATAGAAGTATGTATCTTCCTTCTTCTTCAAAGCCAAGATCAATCTGTCCATTTCTGCGCAATCCAAAATCTTTTTTAAGATCAACCTTTCGGTAGGTGGCTCTTTGTTGCTCCAGTGTTGAGCAAATGCAGTCCTCGCTGCGGTACTTACATGTAAAATCAAATATATAGCTTGTTTATCAAAGTCAAGATTTCTTCAACTATAGCACAGTTTAGAAACAACAACAGGAACAACTCAAGAGTTGCTATTGTAGTTATTTCTAAATCAGTAGTGATAAGCCATATGCATGTCCCTTGGGAGGACATCCCAGTGGTGAGAAAGCCATGTCCATTAGCACCTGCTGGTCTAACAGCTTTCACTCGTTGGCCAGATAGCAGAGCCTCCAAAGCTGATGTTAATGTTTGAGCAGTTTGTATCTATAGGTTGTTCAGATAATATGGTCATAAACCATTCAAAGTTTTAAAGGTCAACACAGGCACCTTGAGTTGGGCAAGGAAATGAATAATCGTCCAGTATAATTTATGCAAGCAAGGTGCTGTATGATTTTAGCACCTATCTCACACGTAAGCAATAAATAATCTTGAGGTATCATAAATACTGACAAATTAATTCTGAAGTAATCTTTCTTGGACACTGTCCACATCATCACATACATGAAGTGTTAGTCTCATAGTGGCAGATATGTATACATGGTGCAGGGACAGGGCAGGAATGTAAACCATGTGGTTAGAGAGACTGAAATGCAAACAGTGATTACCTGAATAGCTTACTTTTTGAGTGATAATATACATATAATTGTAATGATAAGCAGATTGATATATGTGGCGTGATTTACATGTAAAGATCAAAACCATTCTTTCTTCAGACTGCAGTACCTATCCAGTTAACTAAAAATAGCAGACCAACTTCACCAGGCTAGTGCCTGGGAATGAGACTGCTTCTGAGAAATATTGCATGTGTTTCTGCGCACATGCCTATACATGCTCAGAGGATGGGCTAAGCAGATTTTTAAAATATAAAATCTATGTTTCTTTCACTTACATTTTATTTTCAATTAAGATATTTGCTAATTCTAAGTCTTTTTGAGCAATGGGCAGAACCAATAAATTGGACAAACACTATATTGTACTTACGAGTATTTTCATTTTAAGAATAAGCTTATTGTTTGAGTAAATATATTTCCTAACAAAAATATTGGATGTCGCACATTGTGAATAAAGGAAAAATGTAAAAGTCTACTGAACATAGATGTTTTTGTATTTGGTACTAAGTCAGTTTTGCCAGAAGGTGGCGATGTCTGTCTTCCCATAAAGTAGGGAATTTGAAGGAGGAAGCGTAGATTAGCAATCTGTGACTAACTTTTCATATTTTACGTTCTGTTCAGTGAGGAGAAAAATAAATATGTAAAACTTGAGTTGCTCCTCTGTTCTAGTCTTCTTCATCTCTAAGATTCAAAATGACCCAGAAGAATGTTCTGGTTGGACAGAATAATATTTTACAAAATATAACTTGAGTAGGCATGCCTGTAACATGTAAGATTTCGTTATGAGTGGTAATACTTAGCTTGTGTTCTAACTTAAGAACACATGATCATATTTTGTGATGGTCATGATATTTTGTGGGAAAATTTGGGTCATAACCACTCAATATATAAGCATCAAAAATCTTTGGATTCATTTGAAGTTTTAAACCTTAGAATGGATTTCTGATCTTATCTTGAAGCTTAGTTGAAAATACTATTTTATAGACCAGTCCTCTAGCTCAGCACACTCTAGGTGTGTTCTGGTATATCTCCCATCATCCCCATTCCAGCTTGGCAACTGTCATCATTGTTGATTATAAAAAATTCACTGAAATCCTATGCCAACAATTGAACAGTAGGAGCTATAATTTAAGAATAATGAATTCTTGATTATCTCCGTTTTTGGTTAAGGAAGTCCAGAAGGAAAAGAAAGTGGGCAGTAATCCCTCTTTTTTGGTACACACCTACAATTTCCCTTTCTGTTGTGTACCCTCAAAACATGATTTGAGGGTAGATGAAGAAAGATTCTTATCAGTTCCCGAGGATGAAGTTAGCATGTGAATTTTTAGCAAGTAGCCTTCAGGATCAGGCCCACACTTATGTATATTTTTTGAAGGATATACATTAAGCCACCCCCGGGCAACCCTGCACCCCCAGACGCTTTTCTTGGTGTCCACTTTCTTAACTGTAGCTGTGATTTCTTCAAAGCCAGTGAATGTGAGGTCTTCCAGATGCTGATGTCTTCATTTTTCATAAATGTTACTGGACTTTATGATGACTAGGTACTCCTTCCATGGCAACCATTTTGTGGTGGTGCCCACAACTGAATATCAAATTGTAAATGGTATCTGTTTAGCCCTTTTTAAAGGAGCACAGGTTGAAAAAGGTACATGCACTGCTGTTTCATATCAGATAGGCAGCTCCTGTATTTTGGACATGGGTTTCCAAGGCAGGTACAGAAAACCTCAGCCACATACAAATTATGATCTGTTGAACTGTTTGCTTTGATAACTGATCTCCCATTCAGTTGCCATAGCTTAATATGCCAAACATGTCTAAGTGCCAAGTTGAAGATAGATATGCCAGAGAGATCTAGGGACAGAGACCATGTATATGTGTTCCTATGCTAATGTTGGAGCCCTCTGAGCCAAGATAAATTGCCTGGTTAAAGGAGAGACTTGGTATAGTAAGCATTATGGAAACTTGATGGAATAAAGAGAACCCATGTAATACTGTTACTTCAGGATATAAACTATAGGAAGGATAGAGAGGAATGAACCAAAGGAAGTGTCGTTTTGTAAACTAAGAGTGCTTGGTGTCAAGCAAACTAGAAAACCTGAAATGTTTAGACTCTTCCCCTGAAATTTTATGGGTCACAACACTGGGCTCCAAAATGCATTAAATAGTATGACCATGGTTTGTCTCCCAGTCCAGGTGATCAAAATGGAAAAGGAAACTAGGGATGCCAGCAGACAGGGAAGTTTTTTAATAGTGGGTGATTTTAAGTACCCTGACAATGACTGATAATATGTTCCAATTATGACAAAGAAGTTAAACTTCTCGGTGCCCCCTCTCTCTGTTGATTCCATGACTAACTGTTCCAGGATTGTGCCTCAGAATGGCTGGGTCTGGAACTTGGATTGAGACTAGAGGTCATTGGTAAATTTTTCCAGTAAAGGTATGGAAATGCTGGGGACCCACATGGATTTGTATTGGGACCAGAGTTTTTCAACTTACGATAAATAATCTGGTATTAAGAGTGAGCAGCCAAGAGGTCAGTTTTGCTCGGACTCCCAAATTATTTAGGTTAAAAACAAAAAGGAGTTCTGAAAAGTTCCTAAAAGACCTCTCCTAGCTGGGGGCATGGATATTAAAATAACAAATGTGGTTCATTGTAGGCAAGTGTAAAGTAATATGCATTGGAGCCAAAAATACCAGCACTGGAGCAAAAAGTTCCAGAAGGACTGACTGTAAAAGAGGTTGTAGACAGCTCAGTGAAAACATCGCCTTGGTGTGCAGCAGGTGTGAAAAAAATAAATTCTATGTTAAGCCTAATTAAGCATAGAAATTTAAAATAAAACTGCCAAGCTCATCCTCTTCTTATACAAATGTATGGTGTGACCACACGTAAATACTGTGTATATTACATGTGGCCCTTTCTTTCTCATGTTCAGTTTGTCATGACACTGAACTTTACCTGCAAATCAAGGATCAACACCATGGATGCCCGCTATGGAGCTCAAAATAAAAGCTGCAATGCATAAAGAGTTCCACTGACATAGGAATCAATAACCTCTCATATTTATACAGAATTGTGCTGAAATAATTCATTTTTGTTATTATTCCATACAACAGGCCCCCTTAAATTTCAACACTGATTTCCTATCAGCCTCCATAACACTAAAAAGAATATTTCAGAGTTGAAAAAAGTGTAGAAA